TATTTGAGTCAGTAATAGAAATATTGTCATAGATGAATGACTACGTAAAGAACGTTCATGACCAGCTTATTATCGTCTTTATGACTTGTACTCTTTGAACATCTGTACAAAATAGTGTCGTTTCTTTCGTTTTCTATGAAAAAAGAGATAGCTATCTTTTGAACAGTTTCGATTAAAATATGCATCAAATATACGAAGTATGTGTCCATATAGTCTTAGTCAATAAAATCTTAATAAATCTCAACAATAAATACTAATACCATACCTAATAGTGGCACATAGACACTTTTATAGGTTTTTTTAAATCTCACTTATTAAGCACAAAAAAAAAATAGTAGTCTTTAACAATTTCTCGAAAAGTGGTTGTTAAAATATCGCACAATATTGAGTAAATTATTAGCACCCGGTATTTAAAAGCGAGCTTAAGCCTATTCAGCGGTCCCAAAACTCACCCTTAACAATAATCTATAACAGCTTTGTGAGGCCGCTTCCGCTGTATACAATAGATGCATGCAAACTTCATGAAATGGGTAAAAATAATCCTGTGCTCGGGACTAATACATCACGCGAGCTGTCAGTCGAGACCGCACGGACAAAAATAAAGCATTGTTAGAGACGGGCAATGCTTTGTCGGAAACTTTGGCAAAAACTTGCGCAATTTTTGGTAATACACGCCACATGTAAAAATGTAAAATGGCCTCAAAGTTTTAACCAAGTTTTATGCGATACGTTTCATAAAAAAAATTATGATACATTTGTGAAATATTTTGTCCATTTGCTTCATACAGTAATTTTTCAACAATATTAGTTCCAGAAGTTTACGTCTATTCAAAAAACTTCGTCTTGATAGCACAAGAAAAAAAAACAAAACCTTCCATATTTCTTAAGCAAAATTTGTTACATAGTAAAATTGATTGCGTAATCTGATAGAACAATTGCCATAAAACAAGCATTTTAATCTTTTTAATTAACGAAATGAATCGTCTTTGAAAGATCAAATAATTGCCGCAATTAAAAAATAACAGTCGCGATGACAACTGAGCAATGGAGTCCTAAAATAGACCTCTAAAATGGATCCCGGGACGGTCGCTTACAATTAATCAATTCCAAAATTGGAGCACTGTTCATATTTTAAAAGACCCCGGCGATCAATCGCTCTTTGTGTGGGTCTAATACTTGTCGTCACTTGCCTTACCCGCTGCTGTAATATGTGCGCTGACGTCAAAACAAACGTTACTCAAAAACATGTTTTCTTATTAATAATAACACACGTAAACTCATATGAGTGTGATACAAACGTGGGAGTTTATTTGATACAAAAAATGTACTCAAAAAAGTACCTAATATTTTTTTATATGTAATAATCAGCGACTAGAATTATTCATTGTTGAAATGTGGCAGTCATAAAGCATTAATTGCAATGGATAGTTAATAGCTCAGATTTAAGCTAAAGTTAAGTCAAATATTGATAGAATCAATAGAACATTGGTGTTAGTTTATGACGAAACATTCATCATAATTTATTGTAACACCACATAAAGCGCAACATAAACAAATAGTATGAGGAAATTGTACATTTTTCTAACGCTTGTGAAACTCTTATATAAATGTGTGACGTTTCCATATAAATAAACTTAACTTGTCAGCTATAATATTAATCAGGTCCGCAAACAATCTTCAAATGTTAATACACTATGTTGACGCAGCGCTGTGTGAAAAATAAACACGATGAAGCTCAAAGCTTAGTGCATTTGCTAAAGTTATCTCAACGGCCGCACCTTGAAAGTAAAAAGTCAACATTCGTATTATGTCTTCGAGTGTCCCTACAGTACTAACGATGTTGTTGCCACAAGAAATTTCATCGTCATTTAGTTTGTTTGATCTATACTATCATTATAAAGAGGATAGATTTGTATATTTGTATGTAACGAATAAACTCAAAAACTACTCGACAGATATCAAAAATTCTTATGCCATTAAAAAGCTACATTATTAATGAGTAACATGGGCTATATTAATGCCTTTTTTATTTCGCCCGGGCGATGTCTCGGCTAAAAGCTTTTATAAAATCACAATCGACTTCAAGGTACACTCGAACAAATAAATGTATAATGGACGTGAAAGATATACCTGAATAAAAACGTTCTATAACAGTTTTAAAAAACTCTGTTTAAACGCTGAAAGCTTTAAAATAACGGCATACTTTTACAGTCGCTTTCAATTACGCTTCGTACCGTGTACGCAATATAGCTACGCACCTCTACGCCGCGAGGCGCCCGCCGGCCCTGCGCGTGGTGACGGCGCGACGGCCGCTTACATCGAAAGAGCTCATTGTTTATATCGGACGATATTTTTTTGTGTAACTGGTCGTCGCTCAAGTGGCAATAAATTACTAACTTAACCTTGACTACGTTTGTTTTGGTTAACCGTTTAGTTGCTATAAGCATGTGTGCATCGTGAGAACTATCGAATGGTGCTTAGTAAAGACATTGAAAATGTTCAAGTGTTTATTTTTAATCCGTCGTTGCACTTAACTAGCCGTTTGAAACTTAAGATTTAAATCGAAACATATGCATATTGTAAACAATAGGTATTGAATTGTAGATTATATATACAGGTGTGCTTTAAACAGTTCCTTTTTAATTAATAATATTGAACAGCTTATGGTGGTAATTTCTCAATACCTGATTCTGTTTTGTTTGTCAGGATAAAAATAGCTTGCTTCCTAGTTTGATACACTACCTAAATATACTCTAAATCGTAGCAAGGAACCAGTAGTAATGAGGTATCATCATGCTTTATGGTTATGTAAAGTTTCGTTAGAAAAAATGATTTTGTTTTATTCAGAACTACGATAATATAAAATGATATTTAAAAAGATACTAGTCTAGTTATAATTCGTATCATTTAATTAAACATTAAATACGAAATGTGTTAAATTTAATTCACGTCAAAATCAATTTAGTATACGTTAATTTAGCCGGATAATTTCGTCATTGTTTTCAAATTTAGATTAGATTTGCAATCCGAGTAATTAAGTTTCATTGGAGCGTAATGTACAGAATAACGAGTTGCGATTCTAATAGCTATTTAACATGGAATTAATCGAATGAATTAACGTTGTTGTAAAATATATTCACTCGATACAACGAGCAATTATTAATTTACAATTTGAAAGAAACTGACAGTTTTTACTGGCCATTAGTTTGAAATTAGAATAAAGAACACATTTTGTTGTTACTTCTTCTTTTTAAATTGTCTGTGAATTCTATTTGTGACAATCAAATACATATTATTTAAACATGAAATATATTACTCTTATCGCTACTACTTTTTTTTACTGTCATTTATGTACTTAGAGAATCCACTTCTTAATATTTAGCATGAAAATCCTTATCGTTTGCGTTTAAAATTAAATTTATTATATGTCACATAATCTTGCGTATATTTATAACACGTGCCAGCTTATATCTTATCTCTGACGGCTACTGCCGCGTCCCTTTGTAAACGAGAACTTTATCTACATTCTTTAGGTGGAATTTTAAAATGTTTTTTTAAGGATTTTCGAATCCAAAATTCACGCTAATTAGATTTACGTATTTTATAAAAAAATATTTTATTAAATTAATTAAATGACACTAAAAATGTACATAAAATGTCTATAATTTCTAGAACCTGTAAGTTCATTGATTATTCCGTTAAGTCATATTTCTATATTTTTCATGTTTCATTTTTGTGTATGTTTAACCAAGAGTTTGAAAGACATGTAGAAAAACATGACTATTTTGTTTTCAAAGAAATAAAAGGGATGACGATGATTTTATATATATTTTGCAATGAAAACTAACAGTTACATTGTACAGCACATATGTATTGCGTTATAGCCATATTATTTTATTAACTCTAATACGTCTAGTGTAACCCACTCAGTTGTGGCGGAAGTTCATATTGAGAGTAGTTGGGAGTGATTTGACACGTCGAATATTATCACCCATGTATACTAGTAATATTATCTACAAAATATTAATTTAAAATAACCCTTGCTGTATTCCATAACTATCGTGAAACGGGTTTAGTGTAAAATGTACTTTTTATCGTTAACAATAAGGTTGATAATTCAATTTCATTGAAAGTTACGCTTTTCGTTTTAGTTATTGGTTTTCAATGATGTACTCGAGTTTTGATAACTGTAAATGTAATAAGGAAATGTCTATTTTAATTTTATTGTTATAATACCATCATCTTTTCGAAGTCGATTTGCGTTAAGTTCATTGAAATTGGTTAAGTAGAATGCTACACTCAAGTGGTTGTTATACTCTTCAGATTTAAACTAATTGTATCTTAGTTTAAAATAGGAAAGTAATCAATTGTAACCTGAACAGCGTGTAACCTTTACAGGTGTAATCCTACTAATATTATAAACGCGAAAGTTTGGATAGATGTTTGTTACAACTATCTCCGAAATCGCTTAACGGATTTTGATAAAATTTGGCATACATATAAAACATAGTCTGGAAGAACACATAGGTTTTTAATTAAGATTTTATTGATTCCGCGCGGATAGATTCGCGAGCGACAACTAGTATCGTGATAAATGTATAGTATATTATTATATGTTTATTTTGGCAAATATATGTATACTTAATTATCATTGTAAATAACACGTGTACGCAGATGGGACTTGGGTCATTAATACGATGAGTACGCGATCATATCTCGTTAGTCCGTCCTGTTGTTTGTGCAAGCGAGTGTACATAATAATTGAATTTTACGTTGTATTTAAACTACTGAGTAAATAACGTGTAACTGAAATACAAAATAATGAAAACATAACAACTAGCTTTTAAATATAAACAACATAAACGTAATTTTGGAGATAAAATGTTAGATATATTATATTTAGGATGATTTATTTAAGATTGCAATAAATTCTAGATGTATTCTAGATTTTTACGAAGTAGTTTTTGTACCAATTTTAATGATATTTTCTTTATTTTCAGGTGTACGAGAAACAAGAAAATGATGATCAGTGTTTGTTGCGGTTGGAAGTTAGTACACCGAAGTCTAGGGCAATAGGCTTCAAGATGGACACGTTGGCTGTTGTGACGTCACTCATAGGCCTTATTTGCTTAGGTGAGAATTATTTAATAATAAGAAGAGACATTTAAAATTAAACAAAAACAACAGACTGCTGAAAAGACTGGCTGGTGACACAAAATCATGTAATATCCCTATTATCACTCTTAACAACACAAAACTATACTCTAATCGTATTACTTTAGATTCGATTTTTAATCTTACTTTATCGTGTATTAGGTAAATATTAAGTTAATTTTCCAAATGTTTGCGTAACACAAGAATTACGAACGGACCGAGGAGTCAGGGTTCAACCGGCGCTAATAGCTCGGCCTTCACCCTCCATTGGGGTTGCATTCCCCCACACTATTCGATATTTAGTGCCTCGTCGTACCATCTTAAATATACCATAACCCCACTTAGCGTATTCCAAAATGTCCTCCCGATTACCCCAATTTATCACTAACTTTGTATCATAAATAACATGACTTAAATAAATTGCAGATATTTAAACAAGGACTTTTCCGAGGTAACCTAACACTACTAAATATTGTACTGCTTATGAACACTGATTCTTATTATTATTGCATATATCTGATGAAGTAAATTCATTTAATAACTTTTACATTGGCTTAACAAATATGTTCATATTCAAACAGACAAAAAACACCTGAAAGAGCCAAGGTTAGAAATAAGTCAATAAACAAGTCCCTCGAGTCCCATAACAAACGCGTAAGAGATACTTAGTAACAGAACTCATGAGGTTAACAAAACACATGCGTAGATTTAACGCCGCATCTGTCTCTTGCACATATTTCACAATCAACACACATTGGAATAGGGAATATATTATGAATATCCCCGCTTTGAACCCAATTCCCCCAGTATATGTCACAGTAACGTAATTATTTTAAACGCCATACATGAGTTCATAAAAAATCCCGGCACCCCGGGCGGTTATCAAAGCGTAAAGAAGTTAGAATATTGTTAAACGACGCCTATCTTTTGTGTCTAATGCGTGATGGATGCTGCGTAAAATGCGGTGAAAAAAATAGAGATAGAGAATAATAAAAATAAACAGAATCTATCGGGCCCGGTACTTACAATGGGCGGCGTATTGGACGTCATTGTGTTCGAGTTTGAAAAATGGTTCGTATCTCACTGATCCGACTACAAACAAAACTACGGCTGCTATGAATATCGACACGTGGGACCTTACGTAATTAACTGTTAGACTCTTTTTTGTTATGTTTATAATCTTGGTTTCACACTATCATCGTCCATGTATCTTACAGCGATATATCTTAGATTAGATCAGCAGTCGGGGTGTTGTTTTAAAAACAAAACACTTTAGATATTTTAATAATCCTAAAAGACGCCTCACAGTGAAAGGTTTGCTCAGAAAGACTAGTACTTACTCTACACGTGTTTTCATTTCTATGGAAAAAATCTAAACAGCAATACCCTTAGACTACAATTAAATACATAATTTTCAACCTTATCATTCGAGATAAAAATGAAGATGTAAATTCTTTTAAAAATGCAAAACAGATTAAGACCATTAAATTTTATCTTAACAGAAATGAGGTAGGACATTCATTCATTCGCTAATCACAAACAGCCTCACATCATTCTAAGTTCTTAACGACCGGCGATTGAGATCTCGGATGTTCTCGAATACAGATGTCAACGGTTAAAAAACGTTATCTTTGGAGGCCATCGCGATATTTGCTAACACACTAAAAGCTTTGATCACGGTAGCCGTTTGGCATTCTTAATAAATGTCCTTTTATCTTTTCTTTCATAAATCTTTATGAGATTTACAACTGTACAGATAGCCAATTTTGGTGAAGTAATGCATGTACTGATGATGCATTTTTCAAAGTTTTCATTTGCAACTTAGTTCATTTTGTTTCAACAAAATTTTCTAAATTAAATGTTAGAATTTAATAAAGTCTAAAAGGGTTACATAAGATTCTCTTTAACTTAATAAAATTTTGTATATTTGGTGCAATAAATTCTACAACTATTGTGTACCTTTCTCCAAAGTAATCTGTTATATCGTAAACCAAACGATACGACACAATGTTATCGTAGCTTGTAAAACTTTTACGCGAATAAAAATAGAACACGTCAAAAACGGGTATCGAAAAGCAGTATCATGATTTGTTGTTACAACTGCCCACGCGCCATCTCTATAAAAACAAACCTATAGAATTGATGTCACAACCGTCACCGACGCATTTCCGCAAACTGCATCAAGAAATGGCTCAAACTTTAGTAATACAATAACAAACTTTCGAATATAACACATAACTCAATGTTATAAAGTTCATTATTGCGCAATCGCAGCAACTATAAACAGATTTAGCTTCACTACATATCGTTTCCGAAATGTCTGTATTTCATAAAAGCGGGACGTATGAAAGTCGATACTAGCTCAACAATTTGTTTGTGCATTAGGACGCCTTACAAGACAAACATAACTCACGAAATTCAAATTAACCTAATCTTTCCATCCGTTGCACGGAGGCGGCTAATTCTCGACACATGTGTTACTTGGGCGTTTTGTTTTTTGCATCGTAAAATCTTAAGTGCCATTTTATTAGCTGTAGCGTTCCGTGACCTTTCTGACGATTTAGAGAAAACATTACCAATTTTAACACATGTTTCTTAAGAATACGTACGAGTGTAATTGGGGGGTGACACAGCTGATAATAATAATCAATGAAAAACAAAAACTAAAACAGAGGTGTAGACAGTGTGTTTAAATTTTCAGGAACTCAAAAAGTATATGACTTAGCATTTATCCTTCTTTTGGTATGAACGTCCCTCGATTTCGGACTTGCATTGCTCCGACTGTTTAGTGCCGTGTAGGAAAGGATAGAAGGGTTGGTTCCCTTTTATAAAGCAATACGCTTATATGACGAGAGCCAAGACGCTATTTTTTTAAAACGTCTCTTGGACTGTCTAAAATAGAAGCAGATGTCACGATAGATAAAATCTCTAAAAATATTTGTTAATCTAAACAAATTTCTCTTCTAATAAAATGAGAACAGTAGTAAGTTTAATGTAAAAGTGCCCTAATGCTCTATATCAGGGCATATACGAAATCAATATAAGCGTAATTATAGCGTAGAATCAAATTGCAAAGAGGGGTCCCAAATTCGAACACGTGTTCCAAACTCGAAAAATCATGATTGGTTCCCTTAGGATGCAATTATGATTTTTCTGATTCATTAGAATTTCTTCCCTTGGATTCGCTATTGAGTTACAAAGGGTGACGATTATTGCCGTCAGAAATTTCAAATGAATACCTATCTCACGTAGGATTTTTTGTAACACACCAGGAATTGATCAAAGGGATTCGGGAATTCTTTTGATGATATTACTACAGCCGCGAAAGGAGATATATTGCAAACTGAATTTGGATTTCTTTTGAACCAAAGGAAAGTCGATTAATACAAGTGTAACACCATAATTCTTTTGTGAAATTTTTATCATCAAGCGTTAGTTAACAACTTATATGGGATGCTATGAACATGATTATCCGAAATAGAAGCTTGTAATGGCCTAGTTCAAACGGATTTGACATGTTCCGTGCGACTATTGGCCGCGTGTCCGTCGAATTAAATGTGAAAATCTTGTCTCTATAAACTATTTTTTGTTATTTTTTTTCTTGCGACGCGTGTCAACATGTGCGAGTGGTATAAATTAGCAAGGGGACATGACGTACCCTCGCAAACTTTTTTATAACAAAGACTTTTGAACAATAGGAGCTAACTATTCGTGTGTGAGTTAAAAATCACTCCCTTCGGCGTTTCGACTTTGTCACAGTATAGTAATGTTTTTGTTAGAAACTTTATTTTACTTTTTAAGGGCTTATTTACGGTTACAGTTAATATTTATTTTAAGTGTGAAATGGCAATAGATACCCCAAATAATGGCACTCAAACATATAATCTATTGAACAATTACAAGATCAGTGTTCATTTTTATTTAAAATTTTCTAAAGACCGCTGTTGAAATTGCGAAGTCTACAGTTATCGTTTTAACATGTCTAAAGGACCCAAGCTTGATCTTTCAATCGCTTTATGTTATAAATATTTGTCAGAAATATGTTTTTTGTAGTACTAATACATTGTAGAATGTCTACAGTTCAACTATGTCTTGAAGTATATTTGATATTATCTTGGTTTCCGGTAAATTCTAAATGTTTTCTTCCGATACGTTATTTATAGCATCACATCTAATATCCAATAATCGATTGGAATTAAACTCGTGACTATGCAATAAAGTAAGTTTTATGCGCGATAAAGTCACGTATTGCGATCCACATAAACAATATTTTATTTACCTCGCAATATTTTACTTTTATATCCGCTTTGGAACTTTTTGATATAACAGTTGTATGTTTCTTTATGATCAAAATGTTTTAACTTATTTTATATAACGTTCGCCCGCAACTCCATCCGCACGGATTAGCTTATATGTTCTTCCAGATTATTTTCTATATCTATGTCAAATTTCATCAACATCCGTTCAGCTGTTCTGAAGATACCTTCAAACAAACTTCCATCCATCTAAATAATCGCATTTATAATATAAGTAAGACTAGATTATATTTCTTTTCTACTTTATAAAAAAATTAGACTGTTTCCGAATGTTAAAATGTCACATTATACAAAACCTTATTTAATAATGTAGGAAATGAATTGTTACAATTGAATAAACTTCTAAATTTTTGTTTAAAAATGAAAAGATAGTGAATCAAAAGCAGATTCAATTATAGATTAAGCTTAGTGATGTACCGCATACAAAATGTTGGGACACGTGAATAAGTAAACACAATTACGTCACACAAAAGAGTAATAGCTATCGATTTTCGACTCAACGTATCGAGTAGTACGAACGGTTCGTTTTTCGTAAAATCGATTTTTTTTTGCTGGAATCGATTTTCAATGTAATAATAGTTCGAGGGTTAACAAAAGATATACATCAATGGAAGTGTCATAAACTAACATCTGCGCAGTTCTGTACAAACATTATGGAACAGTGGAGGGGAAGTGTGTTCTTTAGGGAACTCTCTTGCACAGTCTATGTTTACGACTCATTATTATTGTGCAAAGCTTTATAGTAGACTTTAATGATATACTTCACCTATTATTATAATTAACTGAGTTGTTGTATTAAAAATATTTTATTATGTTAAAAACTGCGTTAGAAGCATTACGAATTGTGTAACCAGAGTTGTTGGATTGAATACATGTATCAAAACATTTTATAAAGAAGAAAGTTTAGCGTTACACTTTCTAACGATTTATTTCGATTAATGTGAGTTTCTTCTATAGGTCCAGCTGAAGGTGGTCTTAACGATGATTACGTAGGCAACGGTGAGGCGCCTTACATAATAGAACAGCCTTTAGACGTCACCGTAGCTCGACATCAACCTGCGACACTGAACTGCAGAGCTGGTGGCTCTCCTACACCAACTATCAGATGGTACAAAAGTGGTACATTAGTAGTCTCAGATACTCATAGAAGTCTACTACCCGCTGGAGATTTGTTCTTTCTTAGAGCGACACACGGAAGAGCACATTCAGACGCTGGAGTATATTGGTGCGAAGCGGCGAATCCTTATGGAACTGCTAGAAGTAGGAATGCTACATTACATGTTGCTGGTACGTTCTTTTTTCAATTCTAGATTTAGTTCATTAATAGCGTATACTCGGAGAAAGGATTAATGACACACATTTAATGACATGACATTTGATAGTCAATTAAAGTATTTTAAAATTGGGTGTGTCCCCTAATACTCGTAGTTGGGGCTTAAGATTAACATTTATTATTTATTCTCTGCTATGTTTTAATAAGTATTATCCAACAGTGTTACGCGAAGAATTCCGTCTGGAACCGGTGACGACGCAAACAGCGCAAGGTGAGACGGTTATACTAGAATGTTCGCCGCCGAGAGGATCCCCGGAGCCTTCAGTTTATTGGAAAAAGAACGGACAAGTTCTACATTTTGATGGCGACTCGAGGTAATACGCAATTCAATATTTAACTTACTTTCAAGTTTTAATTCCAGTAAAAGATGTATACCTACTTACTTCATCTACTTAAAATCTCAAATAGATTCATTATAATCTCCCTCAGAATTTAACTTTAATTTTTTTTATTCCACAACACAAATATAAAAACACTTAACTTATACATTTATAGAACTGTCGTAGTTACGAGTAGAAAGTAGTATAAAAATTAAAATTTAATGCACAATTTATTTTAATTAAGATTTCGTGTAAGGGATTTCGCATACAGTTAGTAAGACGTAATTAACAGTTGTAAGCATTCATCGGAGAAGGGGAATGCTTGAAGAGCTGAACAAGCAATCAAGAAAAAATCTCAATAGTTCTGACTTATCGGACCCTTTATTGAATGTTAATTTCCTTTTGAATTATTCCTCCCTATATTTGAATAACTTTCGTTACATCGGACTTTAGTTCACGTAATGAACATTTTTTACTGAGCTTCTTAGAAGTGCTTTAATTTTTAATATTCCTTTAGGATGCATTTAGTGGATGGGGGCAGCCTTGTTATACAAGACGCGAGACAAACTGATACTGGCAGATATCAGTGCCTTGCTAGGAATGCTGCTGGCACAAGAGAATCTGCTATTGCTACATTAAAAATACACAGTAAGTAAACTTGGTACATTACTTAACATAGCAGTGTACAAAATAAAGACCTTCTATATCTATTATTCCATTTTCACATTCACAATCGTTTATTTAGATTAGGTGCGTATAGTTTTGACAATAGAGTGCATGTTTTATTTAAATTTAATTTGTCCACAGTCAAACCGTATTTGATCTCTGGGCCGGAGGATATAGTCGCACAGACCGGAGGCAGCGTGACGTTTCAGTGCCGAGTGGGCGGCGACCCCCTGCCCGACGTATTGTGGCGGCGCACGGCTGGCGGCGGGAACATGCCGCTCGGTAGAGTCAAAGTTTTAGACGATAGAAGTCTTCGCTTAGACAACGTCATACTAGGAGACGAGGGAGAATACACATGTGAAGCTGACAACTCAGTTGGTGCTGTGAGCGCAAGTGGCTACCTAACTGTTAACGGTAAAAAAAACTTTTAAATTTTCTTGATATTATCATCCCATCTTATCATATCATCCTTATCGTCTCCCTGGCCTTATTCTGCTCATTTCATTATATCGATATTATGACTAAATATTTTTGTTTTATTTTAGATCCTCCTTCAATAATTTTGAAACCAAATAGTGTGATAGTAGAAAGTGATTCCGTAGCAACGTTCACATGTACCACATCTGGAAAACCGGAACCAACTATATTCTGGAGTATAGAAGGCAATAGGACTATTATTTTACCAGGAATGTCAAAAGGCAAATATTACGCCTCATCAGTCATTAACGGTGTTTCGACTCTCACAATTAACGATACGAAGAAAAACGACAGTGGAAGCACGATAGTTTGCTCCGCGGTCAACTTTGCGGGAAGTTCATTTCTTAGAGGGAAGTTGACCGTAACATCGGACGATGACCGACCCCCGCCGATCATAACAAACGGTCCCTCTAACCAAACGTTACCTATAAAATCGATGGCAGTTTTCCCCTGTTCGGCTATTGGTACACCTGAACCGGTCATAGCTTGGTATTTTGAAGGGGAAGCTTTGATACAAAACTACAGAAGAAATATTTCAAACGGTGGCACTCTTATTTTGAAAGATTTAGATAAAAGTGATAGCGGAACATACACGTGTGTCGCTTCTTCGCCCCAAGGAAAATATGTTTGGAGCGGTGTTTTGATTGTAGATACCCCAACAAATCCTAATATACATTTTTTTAGAGCTGCAGACAATTCCTCGCTACCGGGACCGCCTACGAAGCCACAAATATTTAACATAACAGAAACTAGTGTAACCCTTACATGGAATCAAAACAATAAAATTGGGTCGTCGTCAATTTTAGGATATCAAATTGAAGTATTTTCCCGAGAGACACTTTCGGGAAACAATACACCGAGAAATTCACGTGGTTGGGTTACCGTAGCAAAACGGATACATCATACACAGTACGTTGTGAAGTCTCTAATACCTGGGATTACTTATATGTTCATCGTTAGAGCAGAAAATTCTCACGGACTGTCAGCACCTAGTCCAGTTTCTGATTCAGTAACAGTCGGCGAGGATAATTTATGGTCCAATGGAATTTTCTCGAACAGTACTGAGAATAGAAACAATATAATGACAGACAACATCGTAGAGCTCATTGAAGCGACTCCGATCGATTCAAGAACAATAAAGCTTATGTGGGAAATTTTAAATTTCTTTTATCTCGAAGGTCTTTTTATATATTTTCGTCCCCTTGATAATTCCACTGAAGAATATGAAATGAAAACTATTTTACATTCAAACGACGTATCCGGATATGAAATAACATCTTTACGGAAATATACTAAATATGAGTTTTTCCTCATACCATTTTACAAGAAATTTGAGGGGAAACCCTCCAATTCTAGGGTTGCGCAGACTTTAGATGATGGTAAACTATTTTTTTTAGATTTTTGCAATCGTGTAACATTGTGTGACTAACTTTTTAATATTATTTTTCCTTTTAGTACCAGATGGACCTCCTATAAATATTGAACTACTCATATTGAATTCAACAACAGTTCATTTGAAATGGTTTCCACCAGAAGCAAACCTACAAAATGGCATCATTATTGGTTACAATGTCCTCGTAAATTGGTTAGATATCCCTGCAAATAAATCAATGGTCGCGATAAACACGACAGTTCAACAAGCAACTAGTCTAATAATGACAAATCTTACCACAGGAGTAAGTTATTCTGTACAAATTGCAGCCGAGACATTAGTTGGTTTGGGACCGTTCAGTCAAAAAGTGTACTTTAACACAGATTCTCGATCTATAGGATTAGATCCGCTGTCGAGGTAAATACTTATGTTTTAAGTGATTGTATTATTTTTGAATTAAATTAAGATGTGAAGATTATAATTATTATTCTTTTTTATTTACTTTGTAGGTACCCAATAAATGGCGAAGTATCCATAGTAGCTGGAGATTTTGTGCTAGAGTCATGGTTCTATTTTCTTATTGGAGCCATAATATTATTCAAAATTATAATGATCGGCGGTATCATCTATGTCAGGAAGCATAATATTTTCGCAAAAAAATCTGCTCTACCAAACATATACGGTAAATATTTTAATTCTTTAAATCGGGTTACTTTTATAACAAAAGATACAAATGTGCAGCTTACCTGCATATTTTATGTTTTTGTGAAGAATCAACATCAGAATTTCAAAATTAAAAACATTCCTCGGGTGTTAAGGGGTGGAACGGGGTGCCGAGCATTTGTTTGATGGAGGCTTTGCCATGCGACGGGGAGTGAGGGGCGCTAGATTACTTTCGAGTTGAAAGGTAGCACGAGCCCTCTCTCGTGAGCGTAGTAGATCTCTTTCACTTTAAATTCACGTTTGGGGCACAAAGGAATGATATAAATCCAAAATAAAGCAAAATAAATATAAATGTTTTCTTCTTATTCCTCTAGGCGATTCGTTCATGAATTCAGCCGCTTATTATTAAGCCAATTTCACTTGTTTGTTATGAATTTTAAGTTCCCTCGGCTTTGAAATACAAATTTCATGTCTTTATTGTTTTCAAACCAATTTCAAATAATTATTATAACATTGACGAATAGGAAATAAAAGAATATTTCATGATCGTACAATATTAAGTAGTTTGTATAATATTCCATTATGATATGTACTCGCTTTTCATAATTTTAGATTCCAATGGTACGAGTTTGGTTACTCAGATGAATATAAAAGCTGCAGTATCTTTGTCTCATCCACTGAGCAGCTGCTACAATAAAAATGCTGTAACAAAAACAGAATCTCTCTTATGGATGGAAAACCAACCTGGCTTGTGTATGTCTGGTACACATACAAGTCAGAGCAAAGATAAAACAAATACAGAATATGATAAAGTAGCACAGCCATTACCTGAATATGCTGAAGTATCATCTTCGAGAGTGAATGGCAACGAGTGGAACACTACTAAAACTGTGAATAGCCCAGCAGCGTACGCTTCAGTAACTCTAGTTGCTAACACTCGTCAGTGCGTTAGCTCACTGGTAATTAATATACAACTATGCTTTTCAAATAGGAATTCTTGTTACATTGAATATTTTTACTGATATTAAAATCTAGATGTGCTCCATATAATCCTGGCCTACTTTAAACATTTCAATTTTTATTGCAATGCAAATAAATCTCGTTCTCAATATGTTTTATACAATTCTTTTGATGTTTTATTAATTAAAATTTATTTATACAGGGCTGGTTTCCTCCAGGAAGCAAAGATTTAGATAATTTTGATAATTCCTACATGCCAGATGAAGAACTATATCCCGCTAGCAATGGCGGCTATTACAACCGAAATGTTTATAGTGAGAAATACTTTCAAGGACATCCTAATGTACTGAAGTTTCACGATCTGCCATCTTTAGAAAAAACACAGAAGGCTCAAATAAGATATAATCAGAGCGTAGAAGAAAGAAAAAGTGATAAGAATATCAAAACGGATGTAACCCAGTCGTTAATTGGACGACCATGTGGTATTAATTCACGAAATAATTCTGAATCGGAGGCAACATACAGAGCTTTTGGTGAAGAGGAGTCGGATGAAGAGAATTATTCAGTTGAGTTAGCTTACGATGAATTGAATCAACAAAGGCACAGAGCTAAACATCAATACGAAAGGCCTAATTTCGACAACGACGGTACACGGACACTAGCCCGATTGACGTCATTCAGGCACGGCCAGACAGCGTTGAGTGGCGCGTCGCAAGCCCCCCTCGCGCCTGCACACCCACCCCCTGCGCCCCACCCGCGTGTTGATTCAGTGACACGGTAGTATCACGCCCTGCCGGTTTTCGGCGACTTGTGCCAAACGGACGTTTAGACCGACTTGTTCCACAAGAGTGTATTAAATTAGTGACGTCATTAGAGATCGCAGCTCTTCCTTACACTGTAGAGATCTTTTCAATGTTTCATATTATGTTTATACATTATCATATTGTATTTATTCAAGAAGAAATTATTTTCTTCCTTGTTTGGACTCCGCACCCTACACTTTTCTGTTAAAGAAAACTATTTCTTAAATCATGGCCTATTGACACTTTTGTATAATGCTTTCTTTGGTATACGTATTATGGCTTTTTATGACATGATTGTTTATCATATAAACTAGTCTTTTGTATAGTTATTGTACTGTAAATAGTGTAAATACATTACTATTAGTAAATATATTTAATGCTTAAAGTAAAAAAAATATTCCTAAGATTATTTAAAACAATAATGTAAATCGTAATATGTAACTAATTTATCTACTGGGATTGAATAAAATCGATTCGTCGATCGTCCATCTCGATATTTAAACGAATTTGGTAACCCTAATATCATTAGTGTAAGTATATTCGAAAATGAAATACGCTTGGCAATAATTGATAATAACTTACAGTTCACTGTTTTGTAAATAATGTGTAACTTTAAGAATTATTAAATTCATATATCGTTTCCTTAGCAAATGGAATTAATTTGCACGTACTGTTATTAAAGGGATAGTATTAAACTTGAACACGATTTGTGACATTAGTATAAACGAGTTTGCAACTAAAAAGTATTTAAGGTCATATTACTTGTTTATAGATTGAATAGACTGTTGTAGAATAGAATAAATCAAAACTAGTAATTTCCTTCGATATTATTACTTTTAATTTTATTTCGAGTGCCATAAGACTTTCCTAATGTAAAAAATGAAGTAACATTCGAGTTGTGACATGAATATTCAAATGAAGCTTTTATAAAGTGAAAATTTTAAATCTACGTAAGTTAATGTGATATGAGTTATAGCCACTTGTTATTATGACAGCATAGCACGACATGTATCATTGCATATCATCTATGTTAAGTAAGTTATAGATAAACAATGTTAACTTAGGACGCTTCTAATTCCGGGATTCAACTGCAGTGACACTGTTGTATTATACAGATTGCCATATCATTGTATAGTCCGACAAAGTTATGTGACCCGGTGTGCATAGATGAAATTAAATTATATTAGCTCACTAGCGCCCTCCTGACAATGTCAGAATTGTCACAAAATCCTTCTTTGTGACTGTATTGTAAGTTTATTTCACCTCGTGTTGTAACCGATGGTTTATGAAATCATAATCTCTGCAGAAAAAATATAGTCATTCCTGTTATTATCTTTGAGAAAACAGATATAACAATATGTTTTCAACGAAGATATTGGTCTCAGAAACCCACGGCATGTAAACTTTCTGGCAGAACTAATCGCGATAGCAGTGCCTCTCTCACCGGCTCAGATATCCTTGTTGGATTAAAAAAACGGAGACAATTATATGTATTTGTACAAGTTTCAAGGTCACGGCAGTCGAATCTTACGATACTACGAATATTATGTACATACTATGTAAAATGTAAAAGCTTTTTTCTACTTCATTCTTGTATAACATCAAAACCTAAGTTAAAAAGATCAAAAAGTCTACTATACTTATATTTTTATACTTTCATTCTTTCCGTATGTTTGAATAAGATTTATTTAGAAAATAGAATATCAAGCTCAATTGTAAAAATAAGACGCAATCTAATTAGTGTCACACATTATTAATATAGAAAAGGAAAAAAAACTAACATTTCTGAACGTTTTCTCTTAACGATTAAAAAATATACTTTTTTTTAAAGTAACTGGCAACTATTCTTGAAGTAATGGAATTTATTATGACTGAAATGTATGACTTGTTATAGAAATTGTATTTTCAATTTAAATTTAGAACTGCATCTTTTATGTTATCATGTTTATTCAGTTAAAAAGAAATAACAATGCATCATTTTAATGAATGTTTCAACGTATTTTATTTTATAATGGTCTTGAATACCTATTTTTAATAAAATAATTAAAATATCTATTTCAACATTGTGTTTTATTTTGCCAACTTTACTATTTTTACAAAATCTTACAGTTAAATATGTTTCCTAACTAATCTCACTTATCGTTAGTTTTTGAGACGAAAAACTTTCTATAAAACATTGTTATGCCTGTTTCGTTAAAGGTAATGATAGTTACGATATGTTTTTTATAGGAATTTTAGTTTCAGAAACCAACGCTTAGATAAGTAGTATTGACTTACAAAATTCGAACCTTTATTTATTTAACTTATTAGAATATTCGCGTAATTCTTCATAATCATTTATATCACAGACAATACCAAGGTATTTTGAAAGCAACAAAATGTTTTCATAACAATAAAAACACAAACAATTGCAATACTTAACAAAAGAAACACTCAAACGGCGACAAAAAAATCTTTTTAGCAGACCGGTAAAAATTCACTGTATGCAAATAAAAGCGGGCAACACAATTCATTGTTATACAAAACTCAATTCACTAGTAACCAATTCATAAGCCAAATCTCGTCCCTGCACTCACAGTAAGTACGTTATTGGCAAGTATTTAAAGCGGCCTGCGGTCCACTCTGCGCGTCTGTAATTGCCTGATAACAGTACACTCAGCACATATTAACGTATACATAGCAATCATAAATAGAGCCTCTCTTTGTCTTGTTAACACTGCCCGGACTGTGATTTCAGTTAGCGTCGAGTGTTCGGAAATAAATTGAACAGACATAAGAGTAATAGAAAAATCCTGTCCATTGGGATTCGGGCAAACTACATTTATTGCAACTGCACATTCGATGCAGCTTAAAAAAAATCACCGGAATACGGCGTTGCTTCCGTGAGACCGATAAACTTTTACAGCGGAGTAAACGTATGAAAATATACAAAGTTTTTTCTCTCATTCGTTCCAGTTTTGCATATTTTTTCAATAGACCGCGTACGCTGTAGGGAGCAGAGAGCGGGGAGGACGCTCGCCTCGGGTATCGTTTTAATTTTCCGCCAGTCTGACATTTACACAATCAAAATATAGCATCAATTTTAATGAGCTTAAGTTAACTGATACACAGACTCACTAGTGAGGGTAGAAGATTAATTCCTTTCAAGGGAAATTAATTTTAATTTGAAGTAAAATCTTGCAAATAGAACACTAATTATATTGAACCGTATCTTCAGCTTTTGTAAAAAGAAGGTACCACCAATCTCAGTCATTTGCAATCACATGCATAAAGATTCAATGAAACGAGGAGGGCGTTAGTGAGCTATCATAATTTAGTTTGACTTATGTCCACCGGGTCAAATAACTTTGTCGGTCTATAACAGGTACGACGCTAATACTTGTCAGTCACTCGAGCCGATGACGGATATAATTCAATTAGTAATTAATTGCTTGATTAAGTTGCGCACTCCACCGAGGGGTGTTTTGTTTTATTACGAGATATGATTTCTACGAATGGGGCGATGGACCGAGCTTTTTAAAAGAAAATATTTATGGTGAACTTTTTTGAGTTTTTAAAGTTTTTTGAGTGTTGGTTATTCGTATGTTTCGTTAGTATGTGTTTTACAGTATTTATAGCCATGTAAGTACAATAATTGTACTAATAAGACATAAGCACTAATAATAAAGCAAAAAATAGGACATAGGATTAACTAAAAGTTCACAATGTATTATTACTCTTGCACACGCACGAACGCATGCACGAATGCATTAGGAGATGCACGCGTTGTTTAAATAGTAGCTTAAGTTTTAAATACATTATCATGCAAGTGTAAATTACCATGAGAAATTGTGTACTATTTAAATACAAGCTAAACTATGTTCTCGAATGTTCTGTTCGTCTACTTAACCAAACAATAGAATTAGTCGTTTGGTTAGCTAATTTATGTAAAATTGTATAAAAGAGTAAACTGATCGACTCAACTATCAACGCACAGAAAATTCATCTCCATAAAGTGGTCCAAAGTGGTCCAAAGTTTGTATGGAGCAACGTTATTCTTTGGGCTTAATTTCATGATAATTGTTTTACAATAATGTATTTAATTCAAGCAATAGTTATAAAGAATAAAAATACACGGAACTTATCCGAAAAGGAAATATTCGCTCTAATATATAACCGTACCTTAAGCCAAAGTGCCCTTAATACTGTGCTTAAGAGGGCGTAGGCATAGAGATGTTCTGAGGCTTTTCGAAACCAACACTTCTAAGCCTTTTAATATCGCACCCTTACCGTACTTGACACCGCCTAACTTTCATGTTGCCATTTCGAAATTATAAAATTCCCTTAATTAGTGTTTTAATTTAGGTTTCAAACTTTCAATTTTATTTATTTATGGACTTAATTTTAGTTTTCATGTATTCTTAAGAACTGACTATCATCTCCCTGCCCTTATTCTATTGTAATGGGGTATTCACACGTGAATTTCAACCTCTAGACCGGACTGATTATGATCAATAATATGTTAAGTATTAGTGGTCACTATTGCTTTATTATGTGTATTTTTCTCAAGTTCAGTCTTATAAATACTATTCATGTAACCTCCTTAAACGGATATAACTCATCTTATTCCAAATGATTCTGCATCACAAGATAAAGTCCTCGCCAGACGTGATTCCACTTAATTCTCACATCGGTATCATTGTTAAACTGTAACGTCCTTATAAACCGTCGATGATGATTACCCAAATTTAATTAAAGCCTGCATCCCTTAGGGTTGACACGGAATGGGTTGTAAAGTTTGAATGGCGCGGCACATGGGCCTAGAGTTTTGTAATTTTATTAATGATGTAATAACAGTTGTGTCAGGCGCATGTGTGAGCCCCATGAGCGATAGCGCAGTCGTTAGTTCGGACGGGTTAATAACAGAGGGTTGAATTGGGGATTATCTGTTAAATCCTGCACTATTCCTATAGATCGCGCCCGCGAAATAGATTGAATTTAACACAACAATGCATTTTCAACTATAAGCAATAATTTACTAAAATTAAATTAGAGCGACAAAACAAGAATTACTGTAAGTCTTTTATTTGTATTTGATATTAGCTGTCGCCCACGACTTCATCTGCGCGGAAAAAACTTAATTAGTAGTCGATGTGTTCTACTAGGCTATGTTCTACATCTATGCCAAATTTCAGCGATTCCATGCCGCTGTTCTGTAGATAACTTATAACAAATATCCATCCGTCCATTCATAAATTCGCATTTATAATATTAGTAAGGCGTAAGATTATTCTTAAAATAAACGTGATTTTAAATTTAAATTATAGTTACAATGTTAAATAAAGTCTGTAACTTATCTCACGACCAACAATTTAAACTAATGTATGACGTTAATTTTCATAATTTTCTACTTAGAATTGCAAGCAGGCGCCATACTTTTTCATTACTATATCTTTATTGCACCTCCTTTAAACAAATTTAAATTAAAATACAACAATTTTAATTTATCTGTAACAATCTTAAATAGCACAATTAAACAGCTTTATTTATGTAAATTGCTAACTAGTTATAAAGAAAAATAAAAGTTACTAGAACTGAAATAAAAACTTACAACGAAAAGTTAAATATAGACACGTAATTTGAATACTTTGTGTAAAAATACTAGTATTGCTAAAGCTAGTGCAGATTGCCTTCAAATAATATAACAAAGGAATCAAACCTACGATCTTATCTTTTCCATACCGTACATAGAAAATTAGACTATTATTTACGACCATAGTTCTACTTAAAGCAAGGTAACATTTGTCTTTGACCCTCTCAAGACAACACCAAACTTTGTTGCGTGTCTTCTAGTAATAAATATTCAAAGTTTATGCTCTTTAAATATTGCGAATGCCGAAACACTATTGTTGCTGTTTGAATTTAAGTATTAAATCATGGCAGAGTTTCACATTTCGTCACCGTCATAAGGTAAATATATTTTAATAACAAAAACTAATGATTTGTATATACAAAAATCTATATGTATACATAAGAGATTTATGTCAAAGATAATAGAAGATCTACAATTTACTAGTATATTGTCACCCGAGACTCCGTCCGCGCAAAATAGAAAACAATTGAATTATGATTTCTTCCAGACTTGTTCTACATCTATACCAAATTTCAGCGATACCCATGCCGCCATTCTGGAGATACCTTCTAACAAACATCCATCCATTCATCCATCCAAACATTCGCATTTGTAATACGAATATTAATAAGATATCAAGATAATTTTGCAAAATTCGTGTCAAAAAGTAAGAAGACTTTCCACTTCCTTCGAGAAATAATATTGAGTATTGAAATAACTTTGTTACTTTTTATCATCAATCATGATACAACCCTTTACATTTTTAGCAAAGAAACTTGAACGCACAATGTATTACTAAAATACGATTATATTTTTACGTCGTACGTACTACGGGCTGATGCAACATCAAAGCGGGAACAACAAAAGCGATGGTAAAAATATCTGTTTGCGCTTCGGTCAGCGATGTCACCGGCAGATAAGTGCGGCCACGATCCATCATTGCATTAGAGGGGTCGCTATATTTATTGATTTTACCAATTTTCGAATAGCTTCCATCAACGCGCGTAACAGTTTTGAAATAAAATGTATCTTACGCAAGGCTTCATACAGAATGTTTGTTATTGTATATTTTTATATGCCATTTGAAAAATGTTTTCTTAAATATAATGATTTTAGCTATACAAAATACGCGCTCGTCAAAACTACCCAGGATCCAGGACTATTATATTATATCTAAATTATAGTTATTACTTATTATTATAGTTGATAT